TATGCAATGAAAAATGGTTATGTATTGCTAACGAAACTTCAACTTGTTTCGGTAAGAATAGTACCGATAGTTCTGTTTGCTCAGGACATGGTACTTGTTCTGCAGGAGTTTGTAAATGCAGTCCTGGTTACACTGGTGGCAATTGTTCTCTTCCAATTTGTTTCTCACTTGATGCCTCTGAATTTGGTGTTTGTTATGGCAATGGTAAATGTGTAGGACCTGACACTTGTAAGTGTGACTCTCTCTTCTCTGGAATGGAATGTGAAACACCAACTTGTAATGGTAAGACAGAACTCGATGGTGGTTGTTCATTCCGTGGTACTTGTAATTCCTACTCTCACTTGTGTGAATGTAAAGGAAACTTTGCTGGATCATCTTGTTCATCTTGTAAAAGTGGTTTCACTGGTACAAGTTGTGAAATTCCAATTTGTAATGGTATTAGCTCAATTGACAAGTCAGTTTGTAATGGAAGGGGATCCTGTTCTTCAGTCAATGGTTCATCTCCAGTGTGTGTCTGTTCAGGAAATTATTACGGTGCAAACTGTGGTTCCTTCAAATGTAATGGTCTTGAAAGATCCAACTCTTCAGTCTGTTCTTCAAGAGGTTCATGTCTTTCACCTGATACTTGCTCATGTAAAGGAAACTACGATCCTGCCTCATACTGTTCCAAATGTCTTCCTTCATACTCTGGTTCTGATTGTACTGTTGCAGTGTGTGATAGTGCAACTACTTGTAATAGTAAGGGTACTTGTAATGACAAGCTTCAATGTGTTTGTAGTGGAAACTACGCTGGTACATATTGTGACAAGTGTAAAGATGGTTTTGTAGGTACATCTTGTCAATACTCATGTTCTGCTGCTACTACTTGTAATGGCAAAGGTACTTGTTCTCAAATTGGTGAATGTATCTGTTCTGGAAATACTAATGGAAAGAAATGTGAGAATTGTAATGCTGGTTGGTATGGAGATAAGTGTGATTTCAATATTGATACTACTTCTTTCGAATTTAATGAGAATGGTGATTCTATCATTGCTACTGTTAAGAGCAGTATCAAGAAGAAGATTTCATGCTCTTCTCTCATTACTAATACTCATGTATTAGGAAGTGAACCTTCCTGTTTGTTGGATGGTGAGAAGAGTCAATTGGTTATTCAACTTGGTCCAATGGCAACTATTGTTATTGGTGGTAGTTTGAGTGTTAGAGCATACATTGATAGTAGTTCAGTTTCTTCTGTAACTGTTAAGGGCACCAACTACAAGTCTGTTGAGCCATCTGCTTATTTAACTTCTGACATTTCTTCTATTGCTTGTGGTAATATGATTTTGGACTCTTCTGCTTCATCCTCATTGGATAGAAGACAATTGATTTTCAGTTATTCAGCAACTCTTGCTCCTTCTAATCAAGATATTACACTTCTTAACTCACTTATTAGTGGCTCTACTGACAGCTTTGTCAAATTCCCAGTTAGTCAATTAAGTGCTGGTACCTATTCCGTCCAAGTTGCTGTACAAAGCTCATTCTCTGGAAAAGTTTCATATGCTACTTATACTTTCTCAGTTACTGAATCATCTCCTCCAACTTTGACCATTAGAAATGGTGCTTCTAGTTCAATTACTATCGGTAATTCATTGGCTATTGTTCCAGTTGTTACATTCCCATCTTGTTATCGTGGAAATCCATCCGCAAGTAGTTTGAAATACACCTACACTCAAACAAGTGGTCCAAGTCTTCAAATCAAGCAAAAGAATGAACTTTTGGTCTTTAGCTCAGATTATACTCAACTTACCGAAGAAGGTGACTATGTATTCACTTTGAAGGCATCTGAGCCTGGATATCCAGAAGCATCAGTTTCATTCAAGGTTTCAGCATCTGCTCTCCCATTACAAGTTTCTTTCAATATTAGAGATATGAGTCAATCTTTGGAAGACAATGTCAAGTTTAGAATTACAAAGAAAGATCCAAGCAATCCTACTTCTACAGATGGTCAAGTTAAACTTACTTGTACTGATTTGGAGACTTTAGCTTCATGCACTGGTTTTGACAATGGATTGAATATTGATCAATCAACTTTGTTGTTCGATAAGCAATTTACACCTGGTAGCTACATGTTCACTGCTGTTTTCAGCAAGTCTTCAAGATCTTCAAGTACTTCAGTCAAGGTAATTGTCACTAGTCAAACTAAGGCAACTTCAGTAAGAATTTACATTGATACTCCTTCAGGATCTGATGTTTCAGCTATTGATCCATCCAATGATTTGATCTTGCAAGCACAAAGCTTGGATCTTCTCTCCCCTCAAAGAGTATTCTCTTGGTCTTCCAGTGACTTTACCTTTGATTCTACTATTGATTTAACAAAGAAATATTTAACAATTCCAAAGAGTTTACTTGCTCCAGGTGCTTCATACTCTGTCTCTATTACTGTCACTGATGGTGTCAAGACTGGTCAAGCCAGTATTTCATTCATCGTTAATGCTCCACCATCCTTAGGTATTTTTGAAGTTTCTCCATCTACAGGTGTAGCTTTAGTTGATGAATTCAAAGTTTCATGTGGTAATGGTTGGTCAGATTCTCAACTTCCTCTTTCATTCAAATTCGTGTTCAGACAAAAGGGAGAAGAAATTTGGAAGGTATTGAAAGAAAAGTCTGAAACAAGATCTTTCAGAACTTCCATGCCAACTGGTCAATTGGAAATCAAGGCTATTGTTTATGATGCTAAGGGCGCTTTCACTGAAACCACTTCAAATATTAATGTCACTACTCCAGTTGATGTTAGTTCAGCTATTCAATCTTTGTCCGTGTTGACTACTTCTACCTTGACTCCTTCCTCTGCTTCATCAGCTTTGAGTGTCATTTTGGCAGTTAAACCAACCACAGCTGAAGATAAACAAAAATTGGTGGCAGCTGGTTTGAAGATTGTTCAAGCATACTTTGCTCAAATGGATGCTGAACAAAATGTCACTTCCCAAACAGAAGCTTCAACAAGTTCATCCTTGTCTGTTATTTCCTCAGTCAGTACTTGTGTTGAAAATCTTCCAGACGAAACTGTTAGTTTGACCATTACCAAATTCAAAGCAATGATTGAAGGTGCTTACTTGCTTCTCAAACTTGCAAGTCAAGATATCAACTCAGCACTTGACAGCGCTGCTTCAATTCAAACTCACGTTTCCAAGAAGGTCACTTCAAGATCTGTACTTTTCACTAAAGACGAAGTCAAGAGCATTGATTCTATCAAGGATACATTACTTTCACTCCAATTGAAGAATGCAGTTCCTGATATGCCTGCAACAAGAACATTCGGATCTGATTCTTTCTCTTATGCAAGATTACTCAGTGTTTCTACATTGAGCAGCTTGAATGAAACCATCAATTCAGTTTCATCATTCAAACTCTCTGCAACATTCAACAGTTTGAGTCAAGTTTCAAGCTTGGATAATGTCAAATTAGTTATGAAAGTTCAAACTCAAGCTAAGGCAGTTTCCAAACTAGTTACTTTCAGAGTAGAATCCAATGATGTAGATGTTGGTGTTTCATCCAATTCCAATACCACCTACATTGCTGAATTCAATATTGAAAAGAATCCATCAACTAGAAATATTAGAGAAACTAGAAATGTATGTTCAGTATTACAAAATGGTGTTTTGGTTGCAGCAAGTGGATGTACCATTTCTTCAACATCTGGTGGAATGTTCACCATTCAAGTTTCTTCATCTGGATCTTATGCCGTTGTCAGTGAAGAAGTTGTTGCTCCACAAGCTTCTCCAAAAACTAGCTCATCAAAGACAACCACCGTGATTACAACCAAATCAAACAATCTTGAATACCTTGCCTTCCTCGTTTTACTCGTTCCAGTAATTGCTGTCGTTGTTATCATTATTATTGTGGTTGTGTGCTGTCTCAGAAAGAAGAAGACTAAATACACGAAAGGACAACATGAAAGAAACTTTGAAGACAAGTCATTCATGGAATTGAATGAAATGAGAGAAATTTAAACCTAAATAAAATTTATAACCATTAATTACAAACGAATGCATCAATTTCTGTGTTGATATTCTTCGTCTTAAAAGGCGCAAGATCTTAGAGCTTTGTCATTGGTAGAAATTCATCCTTTACTTTTGTTTTTTAGCTATCATTAAGGAGATTGTTTCAGATGTGATTAATGGTTGCTTGATCTGCATTTTGGTTTTGTCCAATTGTTGGGAATACATTTTAATGTACGGTTCTGAAATAGCAAGTCTGGCAGAAACAAATAAAACATTCCCGTTCAATTTGGAAACAGCCAACTTGACAATTTCATCATCATCATTAAATGGACATCCAATAAAAATAAATGGGTGAACATTAATCCATTCCATAAAGGTCTTCATATTCACGAGCTGTGTGGGAAGATAGCTCCAAAACTCTCTCATCCTTGCTGCCTTATCAATTAGTTCCCCTTTGTTTGTGTTTGCTGGAAATAGTTTCTTGTGTAAATCAAGAATTGTTTGAGAGGAAGTTTCCCTTGACATGAATCTCAATAGTTTGATGTTTTCTTTGCATATTGCTATCCACTGCTTCACGCTGAAGATAATATCCGAAGGAAGAAAGTAAAATGCCTCTTCATAAGGTAAATTACTCCAAAAATCTGGATTATTCCTCAGTTTCTGATCTATCTCATTTAAAAATGTTGGATAACTTTTACGATTGATTAGTACATTGCACAACTTCTGTACGAACATAGCATCTGACTTTAACTTATCTGATATTAAAGAAAACCATAAAGGGTTAAATGTGCATACTTTCAAACAAAGTTCAGAATTATTTCCTATACTATTGTGAACTAATGGGAAAAGTTGAATGTCCAAATTGAAAATAGCATTGCAAATGTCAACATCTTTGAAATTTTCATCTGAAATATTTGATAGAATTGTCTTGGAGTTTCTATGTTTGAGTATTAATAATAATACTTGTTTCTCATTGAAATATTGACTCTCAGCAATCTTTTTTGGTAGTGTCAATTTAAGAATATCCATTAAGAACTTCTTGTCACTGTCGATGGATTTTTGATCAAGATTTGAAACAATATATTCTGCTACTTCTGCTTTCATATTTTTGTGTAAAGCAAATTTGTAAAGTGCCAAATCTTGTGAATATTTGATAATCTTGTAATAATTTTGATATTTTTGATCTGAAATTAGTTTCTCTATTAAATTTCTATCCTCTAATAATTTTACAAGTAGATCAAGTATACTTTTCGATCCTTTTTTCAAAATATCCACAAAAGTGTCATAATTCTTGCAATTCAAAGCCAACACTGTTACAACTCTTGCATCTTGCCTTGTTTTAGGAGAAAGTTTTGCATAGCTTCCATTACTTGTTTTAAGTAGCTCTTTTACTACCAGAAAATCATTGGAAATACTTTCTCTGACACTAGTTAAGAATTTAGGATGCGCAGCAAGTAATCGTCTTTGCACAATTCTTCCACAATTCAAAAACGATGGTGGGAAATCCAGTGAGAACCGTTGCTTCTTGAAAAGGTGACTAATAAGCATTTCATTTTGCTTATCATCCTCATCTAGTGATTTGAAATCACTCTCAGATATTACATATTTGGAAATTGGTAAGGAATGAAACCACATTTTCAGATAAATGTTCGATCTAATAGCTTTAGAACGAATCTCAAGAGATGATTTACACAAGACATTCAAATCATACAAATTCTGTAACTTTTCATACATGCCCATATCAATTAATCGTGAATCAATTTTTGAAATGGTTCTACTTTTAAGTATTGGTACATGTTCAATAGCTATTGAAATAGTATTCTCAGGATTACGAGATGAAGTGAGATAATCAGCAACTATTGCATAGTGAGTATAATAAAGAATTTCATCTTTTGTAAAGAGTTTGACATGATTCAGTAAGAGTTTCATATTCTTCGGATTCAATAATAAATTCTTATTGAATGTTGTATTCCTCTTGATTTCATCCGATAAATCCAAATATTCCTCTTTAGTGAGAACCAAAGCAAATGCCTTACAGCAAGCAATGTGTAAAGGCATACATTTTACAGAATATAAATAAAAAGCTTTTGATACTTGTTGGAAAGTTGCATAACTGAATAGATCAATGTATTCTAATATTGTACGGAAATAATCTGATGAAAGCTGTTCGATCATCATTTTAAATAATTCGAATGAGTTTAAAATATTGTTGCCGAAACTGCTATTTTTTTTTTAAATAATTAACCAGATGTTGTAAACGTTGATATTGAATCCGTGAGCTATTCTTGAATAAGTGGAAAAATTATCATCAAGCTTGAGAAATAGCATACTATGTAGTTTTTGAGTATGCCGCTCAATAAGCTGGTGTCATTAGAAATTCAATAAATTAATTTTCAAAATTGTTTATTTGTTTTAAACGAATGCCTTAGTCGACATCAACATCTTCGAATTTTGGTTGAGCACCAGATGGAGGAGCATCATCGGAAGAACCAGCACCAGCAGCACCGGCACCTGGGAAACCACCAGCACCTGGGAAGCCACCTTCAGCACCTGGCATACCACCAGCACCTTGGTACAACTTGGAAATGATTGGAGCACACTTGCCTTCCAATTCCTTTTGCTTAGCTTCGAATTCTTCCTTAGAAGCAGTTTGGTTGTTATCAATCCAGTTAATAGCAGCTTCACAAGCTTCCTTAATAGTCTTCTTGTCAGATTCTGGGATCTTACCAGCAAGGTTTGGATCTTCAACAGTTGACTTCATTTGATAAGCATATGATTCCAAATGATTCTTAGCTTCAACCTTCTTTCTCAATTCATCATCTTGAGCCTTCATGTTTTCAGCTTGTCTCAACATTTCGTCAATTTCTTCCTTTGACAATCTACCCTTATCGTTAGTGATGGTAATATTTTCAGTCTTACCAGAAGATTCATCCTTAGCAGCAACCTTCATGATACCGTTAGCATCAATTTCGAAAGTAACTTCAATCTTTGGAACACCTCTTGGTGCAGGTGGAATACCTTCAAGATTGAATTTACCCAACAAGTGGTTATCCTTAGTCATGGTTCTTTCACCTTCATAAACTTGAATGGTGACAGCAGTTTGGTTGTCAGCATAAGTAGTGAAGATTTGAGACTTCTTACAAGGGATAGTAGTATTTCTTTCAATCAATTTAGTCATGACACCACCAGCAGTTTCAATACCCAAAGACAATGGAGTAACGTCGATCAACAAGACTCTAGTTTCCTTACCAGTCAAAACACCAGCTTGAACAGCAGCACCATAAGCAACAGCTTCATCAGGATTGATGGACTTGCAGAGTTCCTTACCATTGAAGAATTCCTTAAGCATTTCTTGAACCTTTGGAATACGAGTAGAACCACCGACCAAAACGACATCATCAATTTGTGATTTATCCAAACCAGAATCTTGGAGAACCTTCTTAACTGGTTCGAAACAATTTCTGAACATATCCATATTCATTTGTTCGAATTTAGCACGAGTCATAGTAATATCCAAATCAATACCATCCATAATAGAATCAACATTGATAGAAGCGTTAGCAGCAGAAGACAAATTTCTCTTAGCTCTTTCACAAGAAGTTCTTAATCTTCTCAAAGCTCTTGGATTTTCTTGGAGATCCTTCTTGTGCTTTCTCTTGAATTCTTGGCAACAGAAATCGACCATTCTGTTATCGAAATCTTCACCACCCAAGTGAGTATCACCAGCAGTAGCCTTAACTTCGAAAACACCATCTTCAATGTTCAAGATGGAAACATCGAAAGTACCACCACCCAAATCGAAGATCAAAACGTTTCTTTCGCCCTTCTTGTTCAAACCATAAGCAATAGCAGCAGCAGTTGGTTCGTTGATAATTCTCAAAACTTCCAAACCAGCAATAGCACCGGCATCTTTGGTAGCTTGTCTTTGAGAGTCGTTGAAGTAAGCTGGGACAGTAACAACAGCCTTCTTAACTTGCTTACCCAAATATTGTTCGGCAATATCTCTCATCTTGGTCAAAACCATTGATGAAACTTGTTCTGGAGTGAAAGTGTGAGTTTCATTCTTGTATTCAACTTGAATGTATGGCTTATCGTCACCCTTGGTGATAACCTTGAAAGGCCAGTGCTTCATGTCTGATTGAACTGAAGAATCAGTGAATTTTCTACCAATCAAACGCTTAGCATCGAAAACTGTATTGTGTGGGTTCATGGCAACTTGATTCTTAGCAGCATCACCGATTAAACGTTCTTCATCAGTGAAAGCAACATAAGATGGAGTGGTTCTGTTACCTTGATCGTTTGGAACAATTTCGACGTTGTCTCCCATATAAACACCGACGCAAGAGTATGTTGTACCCAAATCGATACCGATGGCACCGTCAAAAACACCTGACATTTTATATATTGTTGTTGTAGTTGTTTTTTTTAACAAATATTTTCAGCGAAGGTTTTAAAATTCTCTGCGCTGCCTCCAGTGGCTGAAAATACATTCCGAAGTTACATCAAGCCTTTGAAGCAACATTTTCCTTGAACGTGATTTGTTGGCAGAGGTTAAAAATAAATTTCTTCATAGGCTTACCAAATATTCGTTGTAGTATCGGAAAGACTTCGGAAGTTGTGGGAATTTAAATTGTAATCAAGAGCAAACTATTTGAAGTATTATTTGGATGTTGATTCAAGGATAATGTATTGATGGAGAGTTTTAATGTATTAGTATTTAGATGATGTGAAGAGATTTCATAAGATTCCGAGTAAGTTTTATATGCTTGAGGAATATCTTACGGAATTTTACATTCCGAAAAAAATTGTAATGAGCAGAAACTTTGAGAAGGATAATTACTTTTGTTAAACAATACGGAACAACAAGAAATAATAACAAAACTTCTTGTTGATGCTGAAGCTGTACAACTACTATTAGTTGGAATGGAAATATAAGAACTTTATTTTGGATGTAGGAATTATCACAAGGAATTAATCAACAACAAAAATGTTCAAAAAGTTAATCACTAGTCTTTATAATATTCCGAAAAACATCATCAATAACAAGACACTTTACACTTTCTGATGATCATCTATCCAAGTGTTTGTCATCTCTAAACCTGTGGAATTTACACTCTCTATTAGAAATTTAACTTTTGGGAAGCAATTGCCAATTCACAGAAATTAATTACAAGTAATTGGATGGATAGGAGATTAGTCAATCACTCAAACATTTAACAGAGCTCTATATTTACAATAATCACCTAGAAGATGAAGGCATGGAGGCTTGTTTCACTTTCCAACTTGATACAACTCAGTGTTAATTTATAAGGGAGTGGGTTCTATTGGTTTGTTGAGAAAATTGAGTGAATAGGAAATTCAATTAGTGAATAAGGAGCCAAGTCCATCAGCACTTTCCAGTTTGACCCTCCTAGACATAAGGACAATAGACTAGGCTAAGAAGGAGCAAAAGTAATATCATTAATAATTTGAAAACTTAGAATTACCAGGAGTGAAATTGGTTAGTTGGTGTTGACATTATTTGATTTAAAACATCACGTGAATACAATTCGAATTGGAAGAAAGTTTAAAAAATTTGAGACTGAAAAGGCATGTTCTTTTAATGAGCACTTCTTTTGGAAGAAAGCTAACGCTTGGTCTCTTGCTGGAAGCTCAAATCACAAGATGTAATCTTGCTTAATGTTCCAAAAGAAAACCTCTTCAAATCTGACAGTCAACTGTTTTGCACTTGTTTTGGTGATGTAAGGTGTGTGCAATCAGCACCTAGAACAAAAACGAACTGTAACTGATCTAATCTGATTATTTAACAAAAAGAAAATACCTAAATCACCTTGAATATGATTTCCCTTGCTGTAATTTGCGCCTACTTTACATTCTTTGTATTGGCAAACTTCATCACAACTTCTGCTTTGGAACAAGCGACTAAACGAGGTTTCGTCAAAATACTCAAACAAAAAGAACAAAAGATAGTTTCTGTTTTGCTACACTTGCTCTACATGACCATACTGACACCCTTCTCCATTTGGTTTACAATTGCTGCATGGGATCACATCAAAGGAGATGTACTAGTTGATGGATATGAAATTTATTTGGAGATTATTCAAATTGGCATGGGATTCTACAAGTATGATGTTATCATTATGAAACCTCAGAAAGCTCGATTAGTTCACCACTTTGTCAGTATAATGGCCTACATCATGATTCTGTCGGAGAATAGCATTATTTGGTATGGAGCTGTTTTGAACATTGAAGCTTACAAGTTACCTTTGATTATTATGCAACTGTTGTACTATTTTGAAAAGAGTGAAACAATTTGGTACAAGGTAGCGAGAGGGTTGAGAATGGTACTATGGATTGTCATCAAGGGAGGATGTACTTTATTGTCAATTAGCAAGTCAATTATGCATGGATTTCCAAATGTTTATTCAGGTTATCATGGAATTATGATTAGTTCATCAGTGTTGATTACTTTTTACAGTTTGTATATTGTTTATCAGGATGTGGAATATTTTTATAGATTGGCAAGACCATTGAAAAAGAAAGAAGATGAGAATTTATCGTCTGTGGTGAAGGATTCCAACATGGATAAACATTTAGAAATGAAATCTATTGAAAGGAGTGCAAGTAATGGTCCAAATGTGAGTACGACGAATCTAATTGAAAATGTTCAAGTGTAAGAACAGTTCCACTGAAAAAAGCACTGAAGCCTTTTCCTTGATAAAAACTTGATATTTCTCTTTGATTCAGTTGTACATCATTCTTTAAATGGTACTTGGAACTTTCTTCGAAATTATCGAAGAAGATAGAGAACAATCTTCTTATTTGACCTTGAATTGTTTTAAAAAAATGGCTAGAAACAAGACACCTAAAAAGTGGAACATTTTTGAAGGATTCTGCGAAATGCTTTATGAAAAATACAAAAACATTGTTCCGAATGATGCTTTCGAAGGAGTTTGCTGGACAGATCTTCCCTTAATGAAAACTTTATTTGTTAAATTAAAGAAAGACACTCTATTAAGCAAAACTTTTAAGGGATTTCCAACAAACAATGGCTATAGAAAAACCGAAAAAAGATTCCCTACTGCGACATCAATTGCTAAAGATCATCCAGAAATTGTTCGTATATTCCAATCCTTCTTCTCAAAAAACGATCAAGCTTCAGAAAAGAATTTTTGAGGAGGTTGCAAAAAACCCTAATCTTTCTCAACAAGGTGTAGATGAAGATGAAGATTATGTAGATGAAGGAGATGATTCGGGAATGGATGATTCATCAAAGAAATCTCCTAAACAATGTAAAATGATGTCTACAACCGACAAAAGGAAGAGATCTGATGACTTAGATGATACCCGCTTGAAAAAGGAACCAAAACAAGAATTACAAGCCTCTAAGGATAAAGATATTCAATCAGAGCAATTTCAAGATAACAATACAGTTCGAGTACCAACAGTGGAAAAAGCTCAAGTTAAGAAAAGCAAACCTGTTGATGTTTCAAAAAACTTTGTGACAGAAATTAAGAAATCGATCAAGAAAGCTATGTTGACGGATGCAGACTTGAAATCACCTGATATGCTAAATTGTAATGAAGTAATAAGAAGTTTGGAAAAGGAGTTACATAAATATGAACCATTAATGAAGGATCAATTACTAGTTTGGGAATTGGAAAAGGCGGAATTGCTAAAGATTACAAATGAAAAGATCGCTGAAATTGACAAAGAAATGGAACAATTAAAGAATAGCTCATTTGCAAATATTCAGATTATCAAAGGATTGGCTGCATTTTTGGTTGGGTATTCTGAAAAAACAGGAAAAGAATTCAGAAGTGCCAAAGAGAAAGAATTGGAGGAAATTGATGATTTCTTAAAAGCACACAACTACCAAGAGTAACTTTTGAGGATTGGTTTAACAGGACAATCGTATACAATGACTATTTTTTTGAATCATTGACAGTTGAAGTCACTGCAAATCAATTTTAATTTAAACTAAATTACCATTAAGGGAGTGGGTTCTATTGGTTTATTGGAGTAAATTCACAATTGCTGCATGGGACCACACCAAAGGAGATGTATTGGTTTTGGTTATTGGATATGAAATTGGTTTGGGATTCTACATGTATGATGTGATCATTATGAAACATTAGAAAGATAGATCCACTTTGTCATAATTTTCTGCCATTACTTGTTTACTGCTGCACAATTAATTTCTAGAAAAATCAAAAAATCAAAGAATGAATAACAACTTCAAGGAGATTGGCAAAATATTAGCTCTGAAAACGAGGATTGATGGCACTAGTTGAACATGCGCACAATCTTCTAAAGTATTTGGTCTGCAAGTTCATTTAGTCAACCCGGCAAAATATTAGATTATACTTTTTTAGATTAGGAGGAGATTTTTAAAGACAATTCACTGTTCCCAATTCAAAACAATAGATATATTAGTGTTTTTCTGCTCTCGATTCCATCAATTCGGTCTATTTTGTCCTAATTCATTGAAACATCAGAACACATCAGAGATTTGATTTGTGGATCAAGTTGTAGTTTAGTAAATTCGAATCTACAGAACAGAGATATCCTAAACTAATGGTCTAACAACACATTATCATAAAATACAACCTCTCTCTCGAAATCATAAAAAAACAACAGAAAATGCCAAAAGTCACACCAGTCTTGGAAGAGAAACAAAACGGCATTGAATATCTTCAAGAAGCAACTTCATGCAATCAATCACTTCTCGAGGAATCTCAAATCAAACAAAGAAATTCCATTCTCTCATGCATTCTCAGTATCAGATTATTCCTCATTGCCATGATCACTCTAGTTGTCCTATTAACTTCAGTTTCGATTTGGGTAACTGCCTACACGATGAATGAACAGGCAGCAATGGAACAAGTCAATATCGTTATTGATAATATGAATGAAAAGATTGCAACTTTTGTAAATGGTCAACTGATTCCTGCCAAATATGTTGCTGATTCAATGGTTAATGATTATCATAGAGGATACATTGATTTAACAGATTCAATTAGAGAATACTTGTTTGATAGGATTAGTACGTTTGGTGTTTCGGTTACTAATCTGTGTTTCGGTGAAGGAGGTTACAATACTTTGTTTGCTTATTCAGTTTATGCTGATGGAAGTATAACATATGGAACAAAGAGACAAAATGAGAATCTTTTCGTATACAAAGCCAATAGAACTACTGGTGAATACTACATTGACAAGCCCACTATTAATAATATGACCTATACTATTAGAAATACTGATTATTACACTGAATCAATTGCTCTGGTTGACAAGTATCCAAATGGAGCTTTTGGAGCACCTTACAAAGTGTTGAATGGTCCTCAGTCCACCTATTGGAGCACTCCTGTGTATAATAGAACTGAATTACCACAAAAGAAGAATAGAATTGGTTTTGCAAAGATTAATATTTCATTGGCAGCCATAGCTCAATTTCTATCAAATGTCAAAGTCATGGAACGTGGTTATGTGATTATTTCAGAATATGGAAATGATTATGTCATTGGAAGTTCTCTCAATATTCCAGGTATTGACGATCGCAGAATCAAAATGACCAACATTACCACAAGAAGCGCAGGAAGCATCATGTCAAAGTTATTGAACTTCCAAAAGGTAAATTCACTCAATAACACTGCAAAAATAGTCACTTCACTCATGAATGAGAATGGTGAAAGCTATCTAGTTGCTTCCTCTCCCTATATCTTTCATAATTTACAATGGAGAATGACTCTCATCTTTGACGAAACTGAAATTAAAAAGGGAATCATTCAGAGCAGTTATGTAATCCTTGGAGTTTCTATTGGAGTTAGTATTTTGGGAATTATTGTGAGTGTTGTTATTGGTTGGTCAGTTACTAGTCCGTTTTTTAAATTGCAAACAGATTTCAAAAATATTGAAATTCTTGATCTTGTCAATGTCAAACCAAGAAGTTCCATATTTAGTGAAGCAAATGCAATTTATTCGAGTTTAACAGAGACTGTAAGATGGTTGGCGGAGATTAGAGCATTCATTCCTGACTCGATTTTGAATCAATTAGAAAGAACAAAATTTATGAAAGAAGGTAATCCTGAGAATAAGAAGGATAACTCAACCTTTGATCCTGGAATGTCATACATAGCTAGTTCACAAACATTGCAACGGGTAGGTGAACTGAAAAGTGGAATTTCGAATTATTCCAGTAGAATTTCCAAAACTTCTTCAGGAAAACCACAAGATGTCACAAATAATTTATTCAAAATTGGACTTTCCTTAAGAGATTGCTCAATAATTTACATGACAGTTCCAAATCTTGATGAAAATCATTATGACCTTTCGTCTGGTTTACTTTCCAATTTAATTTCCAAAGCACTCACTTCCATTTCAAGTATTTGCAAAACGTGTAAAGCAGATTTCCAAATCAAGTCATTTAATGAATTTATGATTTTATTCTCAGATAAGAAATCATCTGTAACCGCATTGGAAACCTCTTTAAAAATTCTCACCTTACTGAACTCGTTGAATGAGAGTATTCAAAGGATGGC